TTTTGGCATTGTTTCAGATCAAGACTTGATCAAGACTGATGTCCTTTCGTGTTTGGTCCTGTGGAACGCTGGTTGAGGGTTGTGCCATGATGTGTTCGAAAGAACTGGCTACTTCCAAAGAGCTCTTGAGTTCACAGCTTGCAGTTACTAGGTTAAATTATTTGGTGCACCGTTCATGCTTGCAGCTTCCCCACCCCAAATACTTGTTGCTCTCGTCCCACGCATAAGGAGTCACGTGCCAAGATCGCGGCCATACAGGCAAAGTTGGCAGCGGCCAGAGGTGGCAATGGAGGTCAAACCTTGGCAGGTCAAACCTTGGCAGTTCCAGGTGGTTTGGTGGATAAGTAGTGATGCTGTTGTGCTAGATTGTTTTTTGTGTGGTCAACCAATCTTTGTGGGAATAAGGTGCCCCGATCTTGGAATCAAGCAGTGGTGAGTATGTTGCTGGCCATAGAGCAACCCCTTTGGCTGCAGTGCCTGTGGAGGATGTTGAGGAGAAACCAAACACAAAGTTTGCAGCCAGCTTTTGTGAATCCCAGGAGCTGAATGACACCCATGTGGACTCAGTTCCGTTGGAGGAGCTGAACAAAACACCAAACATGTCTGGTGATGCCATTGTTATCCCAGATTCGTTGCCTGACGCCCCAGAGCCTGAGGTCCCTGATAACCAGCTCGGTCTCTCTCAGACTCAGCCAGCTACATCCCATGAGATCTTGCCAGGTGAGGCTAAACCTGCACCAGCAACGCCAACCAAGGCTCTGAGTGAGGAAGGTGGGAAGGAGCACATGCTTTCTCAGGAGATTCCTTTGGGGTTTTCCCCTGGTGAAACTCGCCGTTCATCCCCGGTGCCTGTCAAGAAAGATGATGACAAGTTTGACAAGTACTATCATATGAACCTCATTTGCACTGATTTGCAAGTATAAATGTCAAGATTGCACTCATTAACTGTGGGGTATGGATATGATCGATTTGTTAAGTTTCAAGAGTTTCATAATAACCCAGGCTTCGGCGCCACTGTAACCCGTCCAAGAAGAAGATCACTGCTTCCAAGGAGAGTATGGAGCTCTACAAAACTGATGAGGGCCGTGTTTTGACTTGTATATAGGAAACCCCATAATATGTGCAAGTGTGAATACTCGATCTGAACATGCGTGGACTTATGATGTTTGCTTGGGGGCTGGGCATAGGTGAGAAACTACGCCAGCTTCTTCGCGAGCATGGGTCTTTGAAACAGCTGGAGTTGCAGGTATCCCGCTGGGCCAAGCGTCTTCAATCTGAGGGGAAGGAGGGTCAGTGGGTAACCCGTGCCTACTTGGCTGATGTCGAACACTATACAAAGACTTTTGGATGAAAATAGGTGCAAGTTTTCTATTGCCATTTCTGTATAATGACATACAGTATACAATAGCCGGTATGCAGCGCACTGGTCAACCGATGCTAGGCAAATGATCGACGAGTCTTTTGAATGGGCTGCAGCCCGTGGTCTAGTCCGCAGAAATCCAGTACACAAGGAGGAGGAAGCAAAACTGGTTTTGAAGGAAAGCTTCTCGAGTAGGAATGAGAAAGGAGAAGAGTACCGTATGATGGGGGGATGCTGAAATGGAGGACTGGCCAACTCTATTCATTTGTATACTGATGAAGGTGCTGTGCCAGGGCTTTTCTACCTGCCTTGCATCTCTCTCAACCTGCAGGATCCTGATGGGATCCTTCTGGATACCAACCTTGACCCGGAGGAGGAATTCGGGACCAAGCCTCGTTCTTCTGATCCAGACCACAAAGAGGCACTGATCAAGCAGGCCACTGCTGCTGCCTCGTCGGGCAAGCTGCTAGGATACACTGCTTGCTTGTAGTTTGTTGTGGCACCTCATGACTCATACGTTCATTGATGGTGTATAAAAAACATTGGTCTTTATCTTAGGTTGGGGCTGGTCTTCCCAACTCTCCAGAAGAACCAGTCACCATTCACCTTGCTTCCAAGCTTCATAGCTTGCTTGGGAAAGAAGATAGATTCTGCGACGGCCCAACAGGACAAGTTGTAAAAATATTGTATTGGTAATGTGTGTATATGCATGCAGTCATTACAGGGTTACATTTGGGTGTTGAGGAGAAGTTGCGGAGCCTGAAGATTCCCCGTGCGACTGAGTACCTCGAGATGAAACTATACCATGAACAATTAGGTTCAAAGGTTTCACTATATATACATAGAATATCAAAGAAAGATTGGTCTCCTTTGCCCAGGATTGCGGACCAGATCAATGGGCTGGTTAAGATTTTGAACACCAAGTACACAGCTCTCAGTGAGCAGCAGGCAGAATACCTCAGCATGGATGACACAAGGCGGCCAGCAGAATTCAATGTCCGTCTTGTGTTGGTTGATCCACTAGTCTTGTTTTTTTTGGTTCCATGAGTCTACCAGCGAAAAGAAGATTGGTTGAACACTTTTGACTGTTCCTCCCTGACGAGGGGTCTGGATGAGAAGAAGAAGAATATCATGAACCTGTTTGCAGCTTGCACCAAGACTGATGTGACCTTAAACAACTACATCACCCGCAGCAAGAACCTTGAAAGCATTCAGTTTATGTGGCAATTATCCATGCACTATACTTTAAAGTCACTCTTGCATTGCAAATTTGCTATACTGGTCCAACTGCCCCAGGAACATCAAATCTTCGTCGGCGAGTGTGAAGGGATCTAGCGCTACTTCCAAAGGGAAGGAAAACAAAGCAAAGGCATCACCTAAGAAAAAGGCCAAAAAGGTCAAGAAGTGATGCAGCATTTCCAGTTTTTGGATCGCGTTTGTCAGGAATGACAGCTGCGTGGGTCTTGTCAATTGGCACATGTGTTGCCATATACATTTGTGCCAAAAGCCTGGGGGTACAGGTCAAAAAAGTGCTTCCACTATAGCTTTGCACCCGTTTGCACTGCGGTGTGTTGCAACAATTTGGGAGTGCTTGTTTTCTGTGTGAGAACTGCCTTTGTTCCATTTGCTGCTGATGCAATGCAGGCCTGGATATCGATGAGGAAGCTGATGATCATCACGTAGAACCAGGCCTGGTGTTGCTGCAGTCTGGTGGAGGTGGAGTGGTGAATGTCGCAGGGGATGAATCATCGGATGACTTGGTTGATGCTCTTCTTCAAGATGCGGAGAATGGAGCTGCCTTTCTTGCAAAACTCAAATGGATATCATTAAAGCTATATAACTGGAACATGTCATGAAGCTATTACAGCTTTCGATATATATACTTCGTCTTGAACCTAGGTTGCCACGGCGCATGGGGTGCTACGTTTGGCTGGGGTCACTGCAAAAAGAAACAAGAAGCTAGGTTGGGTGGGCCAACAGCTTGTACAAATTTAAGTTCAATTGTTGTGCAAAACACCTTTGGGACCCTGGACAGGTGTAGTTGACACCAATATCAACAAGATAGCCCGCTATCGGTTAACAAAGTCGGGGAAGACTGGAAAGAATGCAGCCCGGGATTTCCGCAGGTATATCTTTCGAGATGGGAAGACCTTTCCAGTATCCATTAGTTCTCCTGAAATTCCACTTCGTCAGAAGGTGCGAACAAAGCATGGCAGGCGTAAACGCTCTATCCGCGAGATTGTGGTGAAGTACCCAGTCATTTTGTTGACCAATTGGATGAAAACCATTCTCCAGAAATCTCCAAGATTCCTTTTGGGTGGCCATGATATTGGTGGCTCTGCCTACATGGGTATGCTGGAAGAGTTTTGGGATAACTTCCGGCTTGTAGATGATTCACACCCAATCTACCAAAAAGACCCAAGCCGACGAAAACGAACGATACCAATAGCTCTACACGGAGATGAAGGAAGAGGACTCTCAAGGGCTCCAGTTCTGATCTTGAGCTACCAAGTGTTGATCCCTTTCACTGGTGTGGAAAGCCTGAATGCTTCAGTGCAGCTTGCCCTCAATTCCTTTGTGGTGGATTGTGTGATATATTTGTTGCATGGTTATTGCCAAATGGCCATGAACAGGGTCTCAACTGTTTGTGTGTGTGAGGCATTCCTTTTCCACCCGACTACTGTACACCGTCTTGCCTTCGCAGTGGTACGCCAAAGATGATGCCAGCATTGATGGACTCCATCAAGCCCTGGCAGACGACTTTTGTGCTGCTTTTGAGGATGGTGTTTCAGTTGATGCCCTTTGCCTACAATAAGGTTTAGGTAGCTCAGTGTATCGAGGGATGAGAATTGACATGCATCTGCAACAAAGCCTAGGTTGATGGTGCTACCCATCTCTTCTATGCAGGATTCACCGGTACAAAGGGTGATTGGGTGTGGGCCAGGAAGGCATACCATCTTCAGTCCGGTTTCCGTTCGCTTCGGCTGTGCCATTTGTGCCCAGCAGTTGTCCCTTCATCTGAGCTTAGCATAAGCTAGATTCTTTGTGTGAGCTATATATAGTGTGATTTTGGGGATTGGCTCTCCTGCTCATGTGCACATGTGAATGTATGATTGCCCAGGAATGGTGGAATATGTCGCCGGCTGGAGAACTTCGCATGTGGACTCAGCTTTCTCCTTCACCATTCAAGCCAGACAAGTATAGCCCCCCTTCGGTCAATTCCAGGGTCTTCTTTTGCAGAGGCTATAAAGCCTGATCCTATGCACTGCTTTCATTTGGGATTTGGTGGTGACCTCTATGCAAGCTCCCTTATAGCCCTTTGCCGGATGAACATTTTCACTGGGACCCGCCTTCAATCCAAACTGGACCAAGCGTATGAGAGGTTTGACAATTGGTGTGCAGAATTTAAGAAATCATCGTCATTGACGTCCTTTCAGGCAAAGAACTTCAAAATCCAGTCGACTCTTGATCTGTATCTTTTGAAGTGTTTTTTTGTCTGGATGTGTTCTGTAAGGGGTAGGGTGTGATTGTTACCTCCCTGGCCCCCCTGCCCCTTCCTTTGCCAGCTGGTGGCCTCCAAGGTCGAAATCATTTCCTCAAGGCCACGGGCGTGCACATGATACGAAACTCATGTGCCAATGGCTGGAGTGGGAGCTTAATGCAATGGCCCCAACTGATGTAGAACCAGGGCTCAAGTCTTCACATCTGTTTGGAGAGTTCTTGAGCTAGTTATTCTGACAGAGTTGTTTGAGCTTCACCTAAAATTTCAATCAGCCCCAAGGATCCTGGAGACCGGACCCTGTTGGAGCTGATGACATGGACAACCCGCAATGCAAATCGGTTCTTCTCCACGCTTCAGAAGGAAGGAGTCTGGATCGAGGTTGCTAAAGCAGAAGTCATCTGCCGATATGGCTTCAATGTTGCAGACTTTTGAATGCAGTGTACCTGTACTCCCAAGTGTCTTGTAGTTCATATCACAACAAGAAGTTTAAGTGTTTTTTATCTTTGAACCTCAGGAAGGGTATGCTGGTTTGGCAACCATGTGCGCGCAGCGCAATTGGAACTTGTACCTTCTCAGGCCAAAGCTGCATCTATATGCTCATATCCCGACACTTAGCCAAACTGTTCCACACTGTTCTGGAGATTTGTTTGAGTGTTCCAGTACCATCCGTTAGTGGCTGAAGTTGAGGAAGAATATGGAGCTTCAGATTCTCTCTTTGCCGCAGCTCTGGAAGAGTTGGCAAAATTCTCAATCCCCAATGTTGCTTGTCACAATGATTGAGGTATGAACACCCAAACCAGAACTCCTGCCAACACACCTAAGGCTGGGGATGCTGGAGTGACGAAGACTTTGTAGGAAGGGCAGCCAGGATCGTACGTCGAGTGAATGCTGGACGACTAATAGCCTGGAGCACAATGTCCCGATGCCTCCTAAAGTACCAAAGGTACTTCTCGCATTTGGGCCCCGGCTGACTTGGACGAAGTCAATGGTGAAGGAAAAGTGTGTGTGTGTGCTGGTGTATGCATTGGTGCACCGGACTTCAGTGAGTGGTTTATCTAAATACAGTGTGGTGTTAACATGTCTCGAGCACTTTTTTTTGGAAACGAGCGCAAATTCCCAAATGATCAGAAATCCAAGATCTCGAGCAGAAAAAAAACAGGTACGTAAATTTAGGTACCTTTGGATGGTACTGGTTC